CGACCAGGGGCTCCCTCCCCGCCCTCCCCAACGCTTTCCCTCCCCTTCTCCCCCTCCCGCTGTCGCCGTCCTGGACCACCGGGCCTTGCTCGGGTGGTGCCGGCGGCGGCGGCCCCGTCCTTTCCCCCCGCGTAGTGCCACGGCTCGGGTGGTTGGCGGCTGGCGGCGGCGTGCTTCGGCGGCGGCGCAACTCCTTGGGTAGCGCGGTGCCAGGTGGTGAGGTGGTGGCGGCGTTGCTGCTTGGCGGCGGGGCGTTGCAGTGGCTGGTGGTGATGCCCTCCCGGCCCAGATCTGGACCTTTTTGGGCCCCATCTGGGTCTGGGCGGGCTTGGCCGGAACTCCTCAGCGGCGTCTCCGGTGGACGGCGGGGCGACTCGTGTGGGGGGTAGCGGCGACGGCGGCTCGTATACTGCAGCGCGGCGACGAGGGCTTCACGAGCCCGTCTCGGGCTTGGCCGGGCCTATCTGGGCCTTCGGCGCGGGGGCGGAAAAATGGTTTCACGGGGGAGCTGGAGCCGGCACGCGCCGGTCGTGGCCATGGGCCACTTCTCCACCTTCCCTTTCCCCCGGTCGATTTGGTCGCGGTTGCCTGGTTTGCCCTTGGTTTGCCCCTGTTGCTACGTCCGGGCGGTGGAGGTTGTCCCCTCCTGCGTGGCCGCTGTTGCTGCCGCCCCTCGTTCTCGGTTGCCTTCTCTGTTCTCGCCGGTCTCGCTTCATTTGCCACGGTGAAACGACGATGGGAACTGCACAACCGTGGTGGCGCATGTTGGTGGGCGGCGTGTTTGGTGGCGCACGATGGATCGTCTGGAGTCGTGGGTGGTTGGTGGTCCGGAGAAATCCGTGTCGGCTTGTCCGGCACCGACGCGGTGACGTCTGTGGGCGCCGCCGTGCCTTCCTGAAGGGCGTCGGGCTTGCCCCTTCCCCCGCAATCCTCTACATACCGGGGGGAAACCCTAGGACTTGTCCGGACAACAGCGTCGTCGGCGTCGCGGTTCTTCTTGAAGGTGTTACTTGGTATGCGGCGGTCCGGAGTGCTCGGAGTGTGGTGGAGTTCTCCGGTGGGCGCAGTGGTTGTGGGTCTTCATCGTTTTCGTTGATTCGTCGTTGTTCGCATTTGTTTCTTTTTTGTTTTCTCTTTCATTTTTTTTTGGGCGTGACTGTGGTGCTTCTGCCCCAGCACCTATCGTTGGCTGTATCGGAGTTGGTTGCTTTGTAATACAAAGCGGGGGGAAACCCTTTTTCATAAAAAGGGACGATGCTTATAGTTTTTACATGTCCAATCACAAAAGTATCTCAGTCCGGCAGTTGGTGCAAAAAAAGAAGGATTTTTTTGCCCTGCTAGACCGGTTGTCAGATCCTCCATGCTCACTGTGCCATCTCCTCGACATCCGCCTCCTTCTCGGCTGCCTCCTTCTCTGCCGTCTCCAGCCTTAAAGCGTCTCAACATCCTGAAGCAGACGGTTTGCACATTCATTGTTGCATCATCATCCAATGCCTTCATCTTCAAGGTGAACATTTTTTAATCCTTCGAAGCGGCAGTGATCTTAACATTCTTCTCTTCAAGCTTGCTCTTCTTCTCTTCGAGTTTGATCTTCTTATCGACCACCGCCATTAAGATGTCAAACCTCTTGGTCTTTTTTCTCTCTCTTAATGTTGGACCACTTGACACATGCCTCCTCCTTCTTTGCTAAGATGCCCTCAAACCTCACTATCATCTTGGCTGCCATCCCTTCTCGCTTCTCCTTCTCTTATTTCCACTTCTTTCTCTGGAATCCTCTTCTAAACTTCTTGGGCGGCTCTTTTATTTGGTCGGTTGGATCATCCGCCTCTTCCTCAGTGCCAATGTCGACGATCTTGATGG